CTCTCTCTCTCTCTCTCTCTCTCTCTCTCTCTTACACACACAAAACACACACACACACTCTCACACACACACACACACACACACAGTAACAGTCCCTCTCATTCGAATAATAATAACATATTTATTTACACAATTACTTTGGCTGAGAATTTTATTGGTTCAATTATTATTATTTTTATTTTTTTTTTATTCAACCCCTTCAAACTCAAAATCAAGAGGCTTAAGCAATCGTTTATCAGTAAATTTAAACGCGTTGTTCAATCATTTTTATTATTAATCTATATTAGATAATAGAAAAATGTCAATTCCTTTTACATCGTAGAATTTTCACAATAAACGTTATAGTAATATATATTGTTTTTAGTAGAGTTAATAGAATAGCGTTACAATTTGTAAAATTAGCGATAGATTTATTTCCAAACCATTAGCAATCTAAATATTTAAGATTAATGAATTCAATTGCTTTAGTAGACATTATTGTATTAACGATCGTTAAGACTTTGGCAATTTAATGGACAAAGTCCGTTCGATAAACAAGCATATTATTCAACTTAATACTACAAATAAACATAAGACAATTTTTTGTCCATTTGAATGATTTAGTTGAGTATTGAGTATTGACCATACATTAAGAAATGTTTAAATTTATGTTCAAACGAAAATTGGCAGCATGAAAGGGAATCGAATGAACATTCCGAACGTAAACGCAATTTATGGTTTGCCGGTCAGAATAAGTCAAGTACTATACAAATGTCAATATACGATGGAGATGAGAGAGAGAAAAAAAGGCATCCGAAATGCCAGCTAGTTCTTGGAAGCATTTCAAACTCTTATCATTAAAACGCGTGCTACGTGAGCGTGGAATTTCAGGATGAGGGACGTCGTAACATAATGGACATCATTACGTCAGGGCATATTGCAAGTCGTCGTACTTCGAGCTGTTCGTTCGCGCGCGCACAAGCACACAATGATAGGGAGAATGGGCGAGGTAGAATGGGAGAGAGAGACAGAGACAGAGAGAGCGAGAGAGAGAGAGAGAGAGAGAGTGAGAGAACGAGTGGCAGTGGCGAGGGAGAGGGGAGGAGCGCAATATAGAGCCCGATAGGATCCTCGTAAATCTCAGAAAGCCTGTCCCTGGCGTTCACTCTCTCTCTCTTTCTCAGACGAGTGCTCCATTCACGTTTAATGCTGGCATTGTAGGCAGCCGCGATTCGCGCACGCGCCCACACCTGCTTCTTTAGCCAACCTAGGGGGGGTGGGAGCGGCGTTGTACCTCTCTGGGTGTGCCGGTAGGCGTGTTTCCGTGCGAGAGAGCGAGAAGACGGATTTTAAATTCCTATTGGATTGCCACTAGAATCTGACATAATGAAGAATCTTCCGAACGAGCCGACACACGAACATCGACGTCGGAAAATCATGGATTGAGCTTCCTCGAAGGGAACTGCCCTTATTTACTGGCCATCCATTGTCCCAACGAGCATCTGTAACAAATACCGATGTCGAAGATCTTATCACGGCGCGTTGAAACGTCAATGATTAATGGGATTAAGATTTGTTTGCTTCGAGCGATTCGAAGTTTTCGTTGTTACCGCAGCATCACCTTCTCACCGATCTCTCTTCAACAATTTTTGTCGTTGTTTAGAGCTACCTAGTTAGACCTCCTTAGACCTTAATAGCTCTTTCGTTACGTATGCTCAAACGTCGGCAAAAAAGTGTCAATGATCGGTACCATTCGGGGCAATTTATCGGCTATGGGATAAGACACGATTCACTTTACTAATTATTCGTTTCAAGTGCATTACGATTGATGCAATTTAAGTAGTAAAGTTCCTCCCTTTAATATTGAAATTTAACATATTTCTTTATTTCTCATTGTGACACGCACTTTATTAGGAGAGTGACAATCGGTATTTTAGTTGTAATTGTTAGAAATTTGAACTGCTTTTAAATATTCAAATTTAATAAATTTGAATAGTGACACAATTTAAAAATAATAAACATTGAATAATTTATGTTTTAGCGGTAAGGCTTGATTTAAGGCTTATTTCAAAATTTTCAATCGATAAAAGTGATAACATCTCAATTCCAATGTTAATTTATTCATTGAGTAATAAAAATCTTTCCAATCGAGGAGGGACAATTAAAATAGTATATGTACAGGGACGTGGACGTGTGCGTCTAGGGACACGAGACCATATATTATAACACATCGGAATGAAATATTATTTCTCTATACGTGCGTAATTATAAACAAATGGTCTACATAAATAAGAGCTAATTTTTATAGGCAATAGAAGTAAATAATATAACTGTTATAATACATAATTTTTACTATTAATCACTTAAAGTACTCGAATTCAACTCAATAAAGTATACGCTCATTGTATTTATAATAACTCAATTACTAGCGAAGTCTCTCATATATCTTCATTATACATGAAATAAGAGAAGCTGATTTCAATTTCATGCCAGAAATATTCCATTTATAAAGGCGATAAATTATTCAATTTCAATATTTTCTACTAATAAAATTCACTAATACGTTAATCCTGTATAAGACATCTGCTTTGATCCCTCCATAATCTGTGGGAATCACGAAGGTTAAAGCAAAGAATCTTGCAAGTTAATTGGTATTTTTTATTATAAAAATATAAGATACTATCTGTAATAAATCTTTTTTAGCAATAACTTATTATATTTGTTTAGGATAGTAAATTACATGGAAGTATGGTTTTTTTTATTTTTTTTTTTATTTATTATTTTTTTTTTTTTTATTTTATTTTTTGTTGTTTTCTTTTTCTTTTTGTATTTTGTTTTTTTTCTTTTATTTTAGTTTATGATGCAGAAGAAGATATAGATGTAACATTTCTTTAAGCATTAACGATTTAATACTTTTCTGATCGCTGAATTATTGAAAAATATATTAAAAATTCATTATACGGAGGAATGACTCTGTTTATTTATTTATTTATTTATTTTTTTTTCTAACGCTATTAAAGAAATGTGCATCGATAATTTATGCTTTATCCTTTACTTTTCGAAAGGATGATTATTGTTCAAAGATTGATTGCACATCCTGAAAGTAGTAAAATTCCTAGACAATAATAATATCAGCGATAATTTGACTATTTTGACGCGCCTGAAATTGCAATTTGTCATTTTATTTCACTTCTTATGAATTCGATCGATCACGCCGATGCTCTTATACATCTTTCATTTAATCGGCCGATGCCTGTAACTGTCAATTACGTTAAATCGAACAAAATATGAAAGCTTAAAAAATAATGGCTCAAATGTAGCGCATGAGTGCGCTGCTTATTCGAGCAAAGGACGCGGACTTGAACAACCCATGAAGAAATTCCTGGAATCGTTTTGAAATCAGTTTCTTAAATTATGATAAATAAATGTAAAATAATTTATGATATTTGTCGGTTCTCGAGCAGAGTTTGCATGAGTTCCAAGTAACGCATTAAAGTGACTTTTAGCCGAAGTATTATCGCGTAACGAGCAGCTATAGATTCGTCTTTAACTGTTATAAAAACAAAATTGTACAAAATTTTAGATCAATTGTTAAACAACAACAACAAACCGAAACGAGTAGTGGGGAGGGGAGAGTGTGTGTGTGTTTGGGGGGGGGGGGAATTTAAGCAACCCGCTTTGTCTTTTAAACCTATAGTTGTCTGCAGATAGTCGCACAGCAGTTTGCGACAGCGGCACATCCACGAAAACAAGTAATTCCGCGGACAAACGTGAATATTATCCGTCTCAACCACAATGCCGAGTTACTCCTCCAGTGCAATGCAACTCTCCTCGTAATTCCATAAAACTCGAGAAAGCAATAAAGAAGCTCTAATTAAGAGCGCTGCCAAATTAGAGTCTCACGGTCAGAAGTTGGAAAAGCAACGGCATATCTCGCGTCTCGCAGCAACAAGTCGAATAAGAAAGAAAACAAACTCCCAAATAACATCCAACTGAGGTATCGCTGGTCAACATCATTCGCGCAACACCAGAAAGTCCGTTTCTCCGAATAATCAAGGCATCGGCCCCGTCATTCCATCCCCATAAAAATCTCAATTCCCGTTTCCTGGATTTTATGCGACGGAAGTGCACGGGGAGGGGCTGCATTAACAATACGTTATCCGGATGAGAAGAACAGAACGGCGAAGTAAACGCGGGGCGCGGACTAAGGAAGCAAAAAGGAGCACGAGGGGAACGACCATGACGACGATGTGGAGACGACTTTGCGGCGCGATCCTTCATCGAGATAAGCGACTCCCTCGTCTCGCCACTCTGTTATTATTTCATTAACGTTAATCGCCAAGTTAAATACCCGAGACGTAAAGAAATCAAGGCGAATCATATTGTACGTAAATGATACGTGACAATTCTCCGTCAAGCCGTGGCTCGCTATCATTTTTACCCCCCCCCCCCACCCGGCCGCGGGCCTGAAACACACTTTTAATCTCTCTCTACGCCTTCCCCCATACCCCATACCCCATCAGCCCTTCCAACTTACAACCCACCACCCGTATTTCATATAAATACGATCCGAAAAATCTTCTGTGTGCTCTCGAATGTACATAGTCATTAAAAGAAAAAAAAAAGACAAAAAGAAAAAAAAAAGAACAGAAAAAGAAAAAGTCGTTTGAAACGGATGGATTTAGGATACGCTGGGAGACGGGGCACGATTATAGCCAAATGGAATAATCCAGCCAACGGTTATTTTTCGTCAAGTTTCATTCAAAAAATTCAAATTCTTAAGCAAACTGAAGAGTATATTTGCATTTTTTATTTTACAA